GATTATACTTTACTTACAGCATCATCCCGTAAAAGGACATTGTTAGGCCTGTCACGATATCTACTTTTGTTGTATGATATATTGCACCAACATATACTGTGATAAACAATATTATCGTCCCTTTAAGACCATTTTATGTCACGTACTATATAATGCCAGAATGACAATACAATATCAACACAATTCAAGAACACATCTTATTCTGAAGAATATTTCATTTAATTATAGTCATTTTAACAGTTTAATAATGAGGCACTGGAGTCAGAATGTGGGAAACACATATCCTAAATAAATTAATAATAATAAATGTTAGCAAAAAAAGTACAAGGTAAAGAGTAACAGAGGCTGTGATATCTACTAGCAGATCTATTGTCAGCTGTCAGACACCCACATGAAAATATACTATAGTCATTTATAGAAAATACTGTAGTGTTTTTAACCATGCTGACACTGACAATAGAGATAGAGACACTCCAATAGAGATAGACATGTTGCACAATCAGCTAAATAGTTGATAGAACTGGTTTGTTTGTATGGGCGATATATATTGCATCAATAAAAAAATGATTGAGCTCATGTCCATGTGTTGTGCGATAAGTCCATATATTTGTTATTGTGACAGGCCTAAACCTTATTAATTAAAAACAGCCACTTCAACCTTTCACCGGAAGTTTATCAATGGCTGAAAAACACTAGCTGTGCGTATAGCAGCCCACTGTCAGGTGTTTGTTACCAAATAAATAGGTTTTTTTTTTTTTTTTAATTTGTCTGAAGCCATTTTTTGTCTAAGCATAACACATACTTTACTGAAACCCCAAAACCGTGAGTAGTATAAACCGTTGCACCCACACCACATACTGGCATCATGCACCTCTCAATATACTGAAACCGAATGTGTTCAGTGTATAAAGGAAGGCGGCTTCAACCTGCGGTTTCCACTGCTTGAAAGAGGAAATAAGACACTTTTAAAACCTGCTGTGTCTTTATTTGTGTCAGTGAGATCACATCGGGCATTACAATCAACACTCTGATTCTTTCAACAGTATAAATACCATGTTTTACCACTGCAACATGCCTTATTTTAATGCACATCTCCTCAGAGGTATTCTAAGAATCACACACACATTTAAAGGGTCATGAAACACCAGAACACATGTGTTGAGCTGTTGACAGTGGTATATGTGTCCCACACTGCTAAAAACACTATTAGGACACCTATATTTCACTAAAAGTGTAAATTGGTTGTTTTTGCGTTATTTCAAGCAAATTCGTACTTCCGGTTTAAAACGAATTATTGAAGCTGCGTCACGGTCATGACATAATAGCGTGTATTCCAGCGTGCAGACTGAGCGTCTGTGCCAGAGTGTGTCTTATTACATCTTACAGTGTGCTGCATTAATGCATGAGTAAAGCTTGGTTCAAACCAATCAGCGCGCTCTATTGTGCAACTTCATTAATATTCATTACTGTCACAGTGTTTAGACGACAGAGACGCCACGTTGTGTTGGCAGAACAAGCGTGAAGTGTTGCTTTTATAGTTTGCTGCAGTGAAGTTTTGTTTTCATTTTCTCTCTGTGAGAGCTCAGCTGGAGTCACGTGTGGATTAACAGTGTACGCGACGCTCCACAACAATAACTTACGTGTCTAAGGAGGATTACTGTTTACCTGAGAGCTGTTCTCATCTGCAAACGCTGAGATCCGGATTCGCTTGTAGTCTTCTCTTAATAAAGACGCGGCTCTAGTTGCTGGTGATTTTCTTGTCTCTACAGATTTGGTAAGTGAGCGACCAGTGCTCTTTGTTTATTCAGTTTGTTCATATTGAACTAAGTTAACTATTGCACCGAGTGTAAACATGTTACAACCAAACTTTAACCTCGTGTAGGATTTTCACCGCATTTTGTGACCGGAATAACACACGCAGCTTTCTGACACTACCTGCCGTGTGCATCTAAGTTTCCGGGAAATGCTGAGGTTTTTTTTTTCTCTCATTCGCCGTGCGGTATCAAACACTGCATGAAAAATACACGCTTAGAGCAGCTCCTCGAATAAAATATCTCGTTTGTCGCGAGGGGCATGAATGAATTCCCTGAAAGAAAGAGCCAAACTGCAGTTAAAGTCCACCATTCAATAATTTGGCGTGTAATTCTGTGTGTGTGTGTGTGTGTGTGTGTGTATTTTGACTATGAAACTCAGCGTGCCCAAATAGACACTCCCACACTATGCCTCTTTTCCTCCTCTGACACTCCCTCCTAGACAAAGCTGGACACGCCCACTTTTCTGGATTTTTCCAAAGTAGAGGTGTGAAAACACCCTGCTGAAACGAGGGGGTTTCATGGCCCTTTAAGAGCTTAAAGTACGTCTTCATTTATAATCCTTATTCATCAAAACAACTGGCTTAAACAGCAACAAAGCATGCAGATCTAACAAAGACTGCACGCCATATTGGAGAACTCTCACAGAGTCTTTTAGGAATATGTACACAACCTGACCAAAGTCTTGTCCTTTATCCCAGTTGTAATGCTGTGTTCACACCAGACGTGGCACGCGTGGATAAATCGCACTATTCTCGCGTAAATAGACGTGTGAATAGCTAAATGGCTAACATGGAGTTTATTAAGAGAATAGCTGTGTCTATGTGCTTTAGAAAGGTTCAAAAACAGCATTGATTCATTTGGAGCCGTGTCTGAGTCTACAAGATTCTTTCAGCGCTGTGCACCAGCTCTGTGAGTTCATCAACTCATCCAGAAACTGTACCTGGGTGATGGAGGCTTTCAGCGGTGCTTCAGACTGAGCTGACCCCAGTTTGATGAACTGTTGTCCGTTCTCAGCAGGAGGATTTCCCCTCAGGACAGCAACAACTCATTAGGCACTAAGTCATAATCACGCCCCTACAAGACAAAGCTTATGACTGGTTAACGTAGTGTGAGTGTTCGCAGAAGTTCAGAATTTCCAACTCGAGCGATTCACGTGAAACACTCATCAAGCGTGCAAAACGCTCAACTCACGCCGCTTCATTTGCGCATATTGCACAACAGGAAGTCTATTCGTGTCTTTGCATTGCCTTAATATGTACATCACTCACGCTTGACGCTTCTTCTGCGTCTGGTGTGAACACAGCAAAAGAGCAACACAAAATAACTCGACTTCTAGTTGATCATTTGGTGTAAAAAGGTGGATTTTCCCCATGAATCATCTGTTGATCTGCATCCCAATCATCACCAATACTGCAGAAGACCTACTGGAGCCAGCATAGAGCCAAGATTCTCACAGAAATTGTGGACTATTTTGCCACAATCTGAAGCAGCAAATACACAAACACTTCAATTAAATAAATACTCTACACTACACTCCTCTTGAGTGACCTGTCCGAGCAGCCTCTAACCTTAGAGCGGTAACCACAGGTTTTCTTGCCTACCCATGCAGCCCTTTGTTCATCTCCTTTAACAAAGCGGTATCGTAGGTCTTAGCGCGCATCTCTCTACTTTAATCTGCTTTAATCTCTTAACTGTTACCACACATTAAGGACTCTCTCTTAAAACTTATAAATGCTCTATGCATATCTTACATCATTAATAATTTCCCAAATCTGGGTAACAGTTACTAGTTAATGTTTATCCTATCCATCAAGGCCCACTGAGGAAAACACAGATCATTTGCATACCTTACTCTGCTTTAATCTCTTAACTGTCACCACACATTGAAGACTCTCTCTTAAAACCTATAAATGCTCTATGCATATCTTATATCATTAATAATTTCCCAAATCTGGGTAACAGTTACTAGTTAATGTTTATCCTATCCATCAAGGCCCTCTTAGGAAAACACAGATCATTTGCAT